ATGAGCACAGCAAAGAAACTTCCAGGCAAAGTTCTTTTCATTTATAAACCATTGATTGTTTAACATATAAAATATGTTTTCATTTATCACAATGTTTGAAGCATTTACATAAAATTAACACTGTAATTAGGTCACACCATGCCAAGAAACAACACAGTGAAATAATTTAAAGTTAACAAATGTAGATGTTACGTTAACTAAAGCCATGCTGATTACGAAAATTAAAACATCTTTCATATAAATTATGCAAATCATGCAAAAAACAGAATTCATAATTTATAAAGCGTGCATGTCGTAGCTGTCATTTAAAGAGCAGTCTACGTATCAGAGATTAAGGAAAAACATTCACGAATGAAATATTTAATGCTATTGAATATAGCAAGCATCTTCTATGAACTGCTCCATGCATGTTTAAGAAGCAATGACGACGTCCGAGGAAAAAAAATTATTAAGAAGCAGAAAATTCTTCAATAATCCATCAGTTCATTATTTTACATTCTTTTTTGGATGTATATAATAGAAATGTGAAAAAGCTAAATATTTTACCTATGTATATAATAGATATGTGAAAAAGCTAAATATTTGATCTTAAATTATAAATGCTATTTATAGGGTGCTGATGGCGTTGAGAAACAATTTCCTCGTCTACTACATTCTCATTGAGATGAATTATTTCAAATTGTGACTAAGGGAAGTTTGTAAAGAAAATCAACACGAACCATGTATTTTCATGCACGTTGAATTTGAAATTGATAGCCATACGAAACATTCAAAAGTTAGGTCAAGCCCGTAACGGTTTACTTTAATCGAGGATCCTTAACTTCAAGTCAGGACAAACAATGTTTGAGTTACAACATTATACAAGCTGGGTCGATCGGTTAATTAGAACTAAGGATAGGGTTTAAGTTAGGATTGGGGTTAAGGGTTTGGGAATAGTTATAAAGGATTGAATAAGTATATCAAAACTTGACATGATTAGAAAATACAAGTGAAGTATTTGGCTTATGAAGTGGTTGCCATGGTTACAAGTACATTTATGCTTCTTTCTGGTGGATAAAGAAAATTCTGTATTTTATTTACTTTTGCAACAATTAACTTACCGCTGCAGCACGTTTATCTTTACTAAAGGCAACAGCTAAGAGTTCAAAGGTGGGTAATATTGATTCAATTATTGGCTTGAAACAACTAATCATGTCGTCTAAATTAATTGTTTGTTTAAATGAACCAATCAAATCTGCCAAATTTGGAAAAATTTCGCTAAATCCACGATAAAAACACTTTTTTTGCAACTATCAAATAAATCCTGTGATGTGAGAGAAAATATGGAGAATCTAAAACTTATAAACCATACTCGATAGTCGTTTTCTTTGTTTTATTGTCCGATGAATAGTATGTTCTAGAAGCAATCTTTTCTATTTTAAGTGCATGCTTTGATTTTCAACACAAAAACAACAAAACTTCAAAAGTATAGCGTCCTTATAAAAACACGTCTTTGAGGAAATCAGAATCTTCAAAAGTCATGTATGTTAAAACATCACGATATTTTTATGTGAGTCTTTCATCAAGAGTTTGGCGAACAGTTTGTACAACGTATTCACATTTAAAGAGCATGCTGCTGCAAACGAATTATTTGTCTTTCACAATATCATTACGCACTGTGAAATGTGTTTATAAAATTCTTTCTTTATCACAACTCACCGAATTCAATTGGCACTCTGAATCCTGCTGTTAATGTTCGAGCCCACCTATTAGTATTGTTCAAAACGCTTGTATTGGACTGTGTGTCAATGATTATTTTGGTTGATTTTATGTTTGAAAAGCACCGCTTTCTTTGGAGAGCAAGGCGTTAAAATATAAATGCCCCTAATTTTATAATTTTACCCAGCAAGGAAACATTTATTTGTTATACTCCACAAAGCATTCATAAAACAACAATTTATCCTTCTGCCTTCACTATAACCTCCATATATCCATATTTAGCCACGAAAGTATTTTCGAATCCAGCTATTAAAAATGATATCTATGTACTGCAGTCCGCTTACGGGAAAACAATGTTTTTTTCCCAATGTATGAAATGTCAACAAAAATGGACAAATCTATAATCAAAATACACAAAAAGAAATCACATGATTTGCAACAAAAGTAAAATCGTGTCTTATTTTAAAGTATATTCTAGAGACGGAAGAAGTGATGTGTGTATTGCACTTAAGCTAATATAGAATGAATTCTTAATGTGCACATTTATAAGCGTGACTGAAATTTCGAAGAGTGTACATAGGGGTGTTCAATGTTTCCAAAATTGTAAGCCAGTTTTCATCTTTTAAAAACTAAAATCAATTATCATGAATACAATCTTTATTTCATTTTCTATGTCAAATACCGAGAACAAAAATAAAAAGGATTTGCTTGTATATTTTTACAGGCTTGGAAAGTGGAAATGAACTTCTAAAATGTTGTCTTTCTGCCAGAAATTTACATCATCAATGCACAAGTCTTGTCATGCAGTACCGCCACATGCTAGACAATAAACAGCTCCTATGTCATAATGACTAATTCTGACATAATCATATTGAGCGTCCGATAACTCATTATTTGTATACAGACTATGCATGTAACACACAAAATCTTTGTTAAAACAGCATGATTGTTGTTATTCATTATATTTCTACCTGTTAAGCGTACTATGTTTGATAGCAAAAGGGATGTTTCATGCAGTGCACTGTTACATATGCTATTATCACTACAAGCTAGTTATAGTTCATATAGGGTATTATTCAATTTCTCCACATACTTAAGTAGAATACTGTTTTTCCAAATTTATTCAAACGGGAGGAAACTGGTTACATTAAGAGAAATATATGGCTTATACATATGGTTGGGCTGGCATTTTCAATCAACAAATGGTGATAGGTGTTCAGAAATTTCGAAGACAAATCTATGCGTGTTTATCTATTTTCAAATAACAACAAGAAAAGTGAAAATGTGGACAAGGCATTACAGCCAGTGCATCAAATTTTTTTATGACTTAAGCTGTTAATGAAGAAATTACAGCTTGTCCGGTATTGAATTTCATACGATTTTTCCCTGCATGATTGTATTCAGTGACTTAATCAACTGCTGAGCAGCGTCCAGAAAGGAATGAAGATAAAGATAAAATACGAAACGGACATAACTGTGATTTTAATGTGGACTTAAACAGGAAATACTGCATGATTAATACCACTGCGAGAATCGTTAAACTTGATTGATAAACTATTCCTATAAGACGATTTCGTTTATATTTTACCTTTTACATTGGAATTAGCTATTTCTAAAATACCGTCATTATATGATGACTAAAATATTTCAGTCTCTTAAATACACTTATAGCTACATTATTACCGAAAGCACATGACATTTTTTGTTAACGCCCTCGACTAGTATTAATTTAAAACGTGACTATAAATATAAGCTTCCTTTTCTCCATATTTTCTATTCAAAAAATGCTGGTCGACAAAATATAACAGAACCGTCACCATACAATATGCGAACCAAATTCTTGCATACATTCGTAGAGAAAAATAGCTAGGTAACTACATGAACATTTCATGTTCGAAAAAATGTCTTAACACTTGAAATTGATCGTACAGTTCTTGGTATTGGTCCAAAGGTCTATTTTTTATGATGACAGAGCAATTACACCTTAAGTTTTCAAATTGCATTTTATAAATATCTCTAAAATATATTACTTTATATTGATAGACAACGCTTTATTATACCAAATCTCTACTATAAAATGATTTTGACCACAAAATCCCTATACTGCATTTTCAGTTATGGTGGTCAGACTCGTGAATTTACTAAAACAATTTCCATATTTCTATTTGCATTATTACGATGATTACATAACCTTTAGCAAAAAATTATTTTCGTGTATATCGTTCATTCAGTCTAGCGATGCATGTAATGTTATGTTGAAATCGTAACTACAGCCAAATCATTACTAGACTCCCGAAACTTCAAAGGAAATAAATCGATATATCTCTTTATACTTGATCATGTACCAATAATAAGTAAATATTTCAAAATAGCATAAATACGATTGTCAGAGTGCACTAAAAAGGGAAAATCATAGCTATATCGCAAAATACATAGCTGTTTCTACTACAAAACCGCATTTCAACATTAATCGATAGAAATCATGCAGAAGAGTCCGTTTTGAATAAAGGTAAATCGACTCAAAATGGCGATTAGTCTCAGAGGTCTTTACTTTGTGAGTGAAGTGGTGTAGCTTACGGCTGTTTATACCCATAAACTGTATACAGAAGGTTCATATCAGTCTTATGAAATATACACCAACTTCTTACATTACACATAGAAAGAAGGTCTGCTAAGTAAAGTTTCCTTGAAAGAGAGCAACAAAAAGGAAAAGCAACACTTTACGTTTACTATCATATGAAAACTCATGAAGTACAGGACTTTCGATCAATACAGATATAGACACACATCAATTCACACAACAAGAATTATCGCTGATATTGTGGGTAGCGCTTTTTTTTCTAAACCTAAATTTAGGTTAACGCTCGTCGCTACGTCTAAATTACTATGTCAATATCTCTGCTGTTGAACAATGTATCTGTGCACTTTTTCCACATGGCTAACTCAACAGAAAAAAGATGTAAAACGCAAAGAATATTATGGCCTACTAAACCACACTGCAATAATCCATGCTTGATTCGTAATTTCATACGATAGTCTATGACTTAATACGACAATGAATTACCGCTCATATTGTGGGTAGCGCCCTTTTTTTCTAAACCTAAATTTAGGTTAACGCTCGTCGTTGCGTCTAAATTACTAAGTCAACATTCCTGTTGTTGATCAATGTATCTGTGCACTTGGTTGACATGGCTAATTCAACAGAAAAGAAAGATGTAAAACGCAAAGAATATTATAGCCTACTAAACCACTGTCGATCCGTAATTTTTTATGATAGTCTATGGTGCCGGCTCTTGAACAAATTAAAGTAAAATATATAATCTGTGATTCTTTTCTACTAAGTTATACATTAGATAAAGTTAAATATATTACAATTCCTACACAATTTGAATCTCACATTTTTCTGCGGGGCCCGACAATATATGTAATATTTACTCTGTTATATATACATGTCCAGTGACTCATGAACATCTGAATTCATGAGCATTTCTGCGGATACGCTTAAAGGAACATTATTAAATTTTTACAAAAATATATCTTACTGTGTTTTTAAAGCAAATAGTCCTTCATATAAGTCCTATAATCCTGTAGATCGCGAGAGAGGAAAGTGTTGAACTGTTGTATACCTGTAAGAAAGAGTACATTTTATCAGTAAAACAAAATTTGAAAATTTAGTCAACATACACATGCAGCTAAATAATTACTTTGCACTATTGAGTATAGGGATTTTACATTCAACATTATAGGGACAATAGTCATGTCTAACTAATATAAATCACCAAAGACCGGGATATGGCAATAAAACTAAGCTCGCTTTTGATGGAGGGAGAGGAAGCCGTAAGAAAGAAAGAAAAAATTAACATGATTAGTATTACAAACTTCTATACCTTATACCGTAAATATCACGAATAATTTATAGTGATCGTTACACAAATAAAACCAGAGCATTATCTTTTCGGATTTCTTAAAATTTAAGTGTTTGAAAACTCCCATCAGTCAACTAGGATCATGCAAACGGAATTGAAACTGTAAAATCTAATTAAAGCCACCAAGATTTAGCCCTTATTTCTGATTTAATTCATAGAATTATATGAACGTCTGATTAACTGCCAAACTGTATAAATGTTGCGCTTTCAGACAAAACTTTCCTGATCATGAGAGATTTCCATTTTTTTCCAACAAAAGCAATTTACAACTATATAGCCAAATATGTTATGATCTATGGCATACAAAAATCTAAATCTAAAGCAAAATATTAGACAATTCAATAAGACATTTGCCCGCTAAAATTCATATACATTGAAAAATTTCATATTGAAAATATGTTATATCATATAATCATTTCTATGAAGACTTATACATACATTCTATAGATTTTTATACATTCCACATATATTACATATGAGTTAGCAATTAATAAAAACGAAATTACCAGTCTTATAATTATCTATATTTTATTTATCTGAAAAGTATTTGTACACATGCAGCCGCTAAATTCTTATAATTTACCAAAACCACAGACATATGCCCACAATCTCTTGTTCAAAAAGTTAAAATGGTTCATTCAACCATTGAAACAAACAATAAAACGAACTACATCATAATATGTCAACTATACTTCAAGAAATTCATTAATCGTAAATTCAACAGATCAATAAAACAAGTAACATGAAGCATAGTGTACAAAAATTTATCTATACCATGATGATGTCGACGATCTTGTAGTCTCTGTCACGACTGGTTTCGTCCTCGTTTCGCTCGGTGATGGCGAATTCCTTGGCGAAGGATAGTCATCATCCTCTGTTTTTGAATCATCGTCACCCTCGCCATGAAGTTTCATGTGTTTTCTCAACGAGCTAGGATGAGTATAGCTCTTTCCACACGTGTTTATTTTGCACGTATACGGTTTATCAGACGTATGTACATGAGAATGCTTCTTGCGATCGCTGGAATTGGCAAAACGTCTATCACAGTTTGGAAAATCGCATACGAAAGGCTTTTCTCCGGTGTGGGTACGTTTGTGGATTTTCAAATTTTCCGATCTGGCGAAAAACTTTCCACAACCACGAAATGGACAAGCAAACGGTTTCTCACCAGTGTGAACACGAATATGGTTAACAAGTTTATATTTTGCTTTAAACGGTAGCCCATTTCGCGAGCAATTCTTCCAATGGCAGATGTGAAGCGATGAATCATTCTGACTTACATGGTCATCGTTTATATGGCGCACTATGTCATGCATCATCGAGAACTGCTTGCCGCATGGTTTACATTTTGGAAAGTACTGCGGGTCAATCCATTCACAAGTAAGTATTTGATGTTGTGGTGGTCTTGGAGGGTACAAAAATGGCGTTGCTTGATGAGAATAGGCCGGATCGTAGCTAGGATACAAGTACATACCTCCATCGCCATGATTTGGGAAGCTGTGGATGTGATGTCTCCCCATGTCTGAGTCAGTTGGGTAAATATTACTGCTACCGGCTTTGTATTCGCTCTTTCCAGGGTACGCGAGGCTGCTGCATGGACTGCTGCTTTGATTTAACGTTGTGGGAGGAAATAAGGGTGAGCATGGTGGTTGAAAAATTGCGTTGTGTGGAGGCTTATAAATGTACTCATGGTTTGAATGTTGCTCTAAGCTAAGCGATCGTTCAAACGAGCCAGGTCGATGAGACGTCTGAGAAGGCCAATGTGGAGAGAATACATACGGTTGTGAGGTAAACGATTGTCTTGTCTCCTGTAGATTTTCTGCCAGTCTTGTGCTTACTGATGGTAAATGAGGAAAGATAGGAACATTAGTCTCGATATGACCATAAAGAGATTCTTTTGACATGCCACTCATGTCGGCGGAGTGCGTATAGGCAGCAGCCGGATTGCTAAGGATGCGTTGATATGAATCCATATAAGCAAGCTTCGCGTGTTATTTCCTCCGTACACTTCACTGTGTGAGAACGCTGCGTTTCACTGTTTCCACCTTCTGTCAAAACAGCGTATAGCAAGAGCTACAGTTGTGGAGGCGTTTTTTACATATGCTTTGCCGTGTGATTGATTGGTCCACGTCAAAACGAGTTGCAATTCAATTGACTGCAATCACTCAACACCAGCGGATTAACACCACCAGGACACTGCTTAAAGATTTGCCGCCTTTTGCAGTAAATTCGCACTCGTGAAACCCTCAACGACTTTCAAGCTCGAGTTTGAAGAAGTCGAACGTTTCAGATCGTCGTCAAGTTGGTCCAAAAATCACCTGTAGTTCATATGAATGTACAACGATCCCTTAGTGCGTGTTGATTGTATGAAACAAATGATTAGAAATCAGCAAGAGGTATTTCTCGTTCAACATTGCAAATGAAAAGCAATTTATAACGCCAAGCACTTGGCTTCATACAGATTTTTCATTAGTCATATGACAAAGACGCACAATGGGGGTACGTAGCGGTACGACTGCTATAAACTTTTCCCAACCATCGAATTGCTGACATTTGAAAGCTTCTCGCTTTGTAAAAACTAGCAGAGGAACGCAAAACTGTAAGTCATGAAACGAATATTTCTGCGGGCTAGCTGCACGAGATATTCCGGATTAACTCATATGAAATACAACCATCTTAGCGGGATGCTCACTCGAGATTTCTTGATAAATAATCAATTATATTTCACGGCTTCTCAAGTTGCGCACTGAAGCCTCAACTGCTCATTCCTAAGCTGAAAAATGCCAATGCTCGTTTTATCCAAAACCGTGCTAGGAAACGACGAGTAGCTGAACAAATAGTCGGATAAGAGGTCAATTTATGAAGGCGTTAAGAACTCAATTGGATAACCACTCCCCTTGTGATGTTATCAAACGAGATATTGAGAGAGCGACAGATCAAACGTGTCTAGTGTGATAACTCTTGTTTCCTGCAGGCCATTACTTCATGATAGCATAAAAACTTTACCTAGTACGATCACTACAATCACACAGAGTAGAACATGTTTTCTGCCCGGAGTGAGAAACATTTAAGAAGTGCGGACATAATACGATGATTCAATGCAGGGGGTTCGCACCATAGTACAAATAATATAATCTTCCTCAGAGTTTGGATAGAAATTTAATTTGTCCGGCCTCCTACTATTTTGGAGGCGGTGATTTATACAGTTTGATGTTTTCTACATGATGGCAAACATACGATCGGGAAGAGTTGGAAAATATGATATCAAGCATTATTTCAAGATATGAATCGAAGCTTGCTGTGAGTATATTCAAAATGCTTGCTAGTCATGGATTGTAGGATATCGATCATGAAGTGATCACAGTTGTAGCTACAGTTGTTCACAATTGCCCCACAACAAACAACGCTTCACGTATTCTACATAACAAAGTGTGATGGGCAATACACAACAAGATAAACATTGTTTCCCAGACATAGACAATATTTAAAAACAAAGCCAAGGAGCAGAGCTTGAAAACGGTAAGTAATTTGACTTGCTTTCGATTCTAGGTTTCATGTATAACGCAGGCAATAAACATAACCATTGTTTATGGAAAACCATAGCTGTTCAAGTTATCAGAAAAAATTTAATTGTGCTTTTATTACGATATGCAGTGCTTTTTTCATTATACGCGGTACCTTTATCATCACACGTGGTGTTTTTATTTTTATACGCGGTGGCTTCGACATTATACGCGGTGGTTTCGTCTGTATACGAGGTGGTTTGTCAATACACGCGGTGGTTTGATCATTATATGCGGTGGTTCTATTATTATATACGCTGCAGCTTTAATATATGCGGTGGCTTCGACATTATACGCGGTGGTCGGCGTATAATGTCGAAGCCACCGCATATATTAAAGCTGCAGCCATATTATTATATGGCTGCAGCTTTACTATACGCGGCTGTTTCAACACTGCATGTACTCGTTAGTTACAACATTATGCAACGCGGTGGTTTTACATCATCATGTGGTGGTGAGCAAGTATTCTGAACCAGCGGCAGCATTTACTTTGCAAAATCTAGTACTTTTTAGCTTATGTCGTCATGAATTCTTACGGCGTCTATAATATGGCATTATTTAAGTAAAAGCATTTTCGTCGCATGATTTGTTGAAGCAAAACATACTGCCAAAATTTTTCAGCTACTCTCGCAAATACAAGATGTTTTCATGGTGAGCAATGTTTGTTTTTACACGTTGGCAGTTGAAGAATACCTTAAAAAAAATTTCTTTATAGTCGTTTTTAAACAAAATTTGTGCTTTAAAATTGCTTTTAGCATACTCAGCTCATTCTGCGGCAACATATTTTCGAGAGGAAACATAATTGATAAAGAAGAGGTTGGCTTCGCCTTTCAAAATTATTTTGTCGCTTGGACATAAACTAAGCGATTAATTGCAATGTTTTACATCCGTACCGACTATGCAATATCGACATGTTTTTTGATTAAAGCGAACGTACAATCACTCTTTCCGATTAATTTATGGTTTGCGGTTCGATCATAATAGAACGATCTGGGGGAGCAAGTCTCCAGCATATTAAATCAATACTCATTTATAATGTTGCTTAAATATAAGCCTCGACGCGTTTCATGAGCGTCTGTTTACAGAAAAACCAAAGTATGCTTTCAACGAGCGTGTGCAAGTCATAATCATAACATATTGTTTATCGCAATAACATTGGACAACAATCGTCGCGGTCAAGATTCGATATATTGACGTATGTGTAGTTAAGGTGATTATTATTTTTAAGTAGAAACCGATGTTTTAAGACAGGAAATATACAGAAAATACTGTTATAGTGCCAGCTATTTGTTATTTTGTAACGACAATTGAAAGTGTACACATGCTTTATGTACAAATCGTGCTTAATGAGTGAAGTATAGACAGCTTAAGTATTAAGTGTTAATTGCCGTATTTATGGACGTGCTAAAGTGGATAACAACTGATAAAATCTACTTTTGTCTCTTATCTAGAGAGGATTATCTTTATAGTTTAAGTATCAGCAATTAAAACCACACATTTTCAAGTCTGAATACACAATCCAGTTTTTGTTGGAGCCAACTAGCAGGCTAAACAATTTACTTTTGATGCATGGAATGCAGCCAGCTAATTGACAACAGCCGAGTTTCACATAGCATGAAAGTAGAATCAGCCTTTGTCCATAGATAAGATGCCAACAGATTATAAACTACAAAACTTTGAACAAATGTCATTTTCACGAAGAATTTGATAGAATAAAACGATCCTTGCGTCTATAGAAAAATTTGAAAAATAAATTAAAGTACTCATACATTTATACATATTTGAAAGCTACTATGATCAACAAGCTACATTAGAAAACTACAATAGTGTACTTTGCTGAATTGTAACACAGTATTTGTGAGTGAAATCCCAATTATGACTTAATTCATAATATCATGCCTGTCAATAAATTGGTGAATAACATGCTATAAGAAATTATCCAAATCTAAAAATTTACATTGTCTGCATGTGAGCATTAATTTGCAGGTAGCACAATGTTATCCAGGGGCAGCGCAAGGGAGATTAAAGGCAACCATTGTGTTTCTACTGCCATGTTAAAAATAGTTTGTAATGTTAAAAATGTTATTTTAACATTAGCTAAAGAGAAAAGTCGCCAAGAAACACAAAAAAGCGAAATGTATTTCAGCAATACAAATTGAAAACATAAACAAGACATCTGTTTATCATGTGCCTGCATAGAATGAACGAGCAATGAGAATGAATTCGTGTGCTTAAACAAACATTTGCATAATTCAGAATAGATGAATTGGATTAAAGTTAGCTACGCAAAACTTGCAATTTTATATCCAAAATGATAATATAAAATATTTAAAATTAACGAAGATACATGATGTAACTCAGATTTTTCGGGTAGTTCTCTTTTTATTCTTATTGGGCAAAGATGACATGTAACACAGAGCACAATCCATTTTACAATGCTTTTTTCAGGTATGAATTAATGCATTGTAATCATGTATGAGCCATAAATGAGTCCTTTAGCTGTTTCAACCAGCATATATAGGTTGTGATAATCTTCAATTTCTCACTGATATTTCCTATTTTATCAAGAATATCTTTTGCTATTTTTTTTTGTTTTCTTTCCAATGTAGGGATGACAATGATAATGCAAGAAAGTAGAAAAGCACATTTGTTCTTCCAGCAAGATATGCTCTTTCTCAGAATACATTCATGAAAAAGACGTTGAGGTAGAAATTCATTCAAACTTCTTATCACCGCACGTGCCATTTTCCTATAGGCAAGTTTGATGCAAATACGTTTTAGAGACGCTTAGCTAATACTATGAAGAGCTGCCCTCTAATTTTTAAGTGCTCTATCACATGATCAAGAAAGAGTTGTGTGCAGATCAACTGTGTCTATCCACCCTTTCTTGGTAGATGCTTTTGGTAGTTATGTAAGTTTCTTTATGTCATAAACTATTTTATTTTCACTTATTAGTCTCCACCAATGCAGCCATGTCATAAAAAAAGTAAACTTTCATCTGGGCAATCTTGCCTCAATTGCTAAGAAACCTGAAATACATACTAAACAGGTTGAAATACGTATCATAAAGTTAAAATAGATGACGAGCAACATTAGCTAAGTTTACTTTTCTATAATCATGCCAGCTTATCCACATGTTGTAGCTACATTTGCATGGTGTTTTATTTAATTTGCTTACCCTTGCTAAGTTATATACCATAGATCAAAACTTCTTTAAACCTATATTATATAAAAATCTTTTGAAGAAACTTGACTATATCCACCATTGCAAGCGCTATCTCCAGGTTCTTACGAGGCAAAAAATACTAGAGGAAATTACCGATCCAAAACGTCTGTGCGTTCTCTCCTCAAACGAATTGTAAATTCATAGCTTCCAACTGATGAGAATGATCATTCATCAAATGAACACATGACATGGATGAAAGAGAAAATAAAGAGAAGAAGAAGAGTCATGCTTTGATGTCAAAGAAAATGGAACTAGCCAGGTGCATTTTATTTTAAGTTTAGCACTTTGGCTGTTTAGTTACGCAGGTTGTACCAAAAAAACAGAATCCACATAAATTATGTATTTACTAAATAATTGTACACAATAATGTAATTAGCATTCACAACAGCTTGACATTTCTGCAGGATTTCATAAGGTTTGTTTAGTATTAATTAAAGCAAAACAAGTTAAAAGTATTCTCATACACTGATTTTAATCTCAAATTTACTACTCAAAAACATTATAAAACAATAGCAACATACATGAGAAAAAACAGTCTTAAAACTAATTCATGGTTTTCATAAGTTCCAACGAGGAGAAACAAGCGTGTACCTTAATCAACCAGGCGGAGCAACTAGCTATTAATTATGCATCTTTCCCTTCCACAATTCCTTTCAGCTTAAGGAGTTTTTATTCGCCGACAAGAACTCTAGACAACACCATTGATGCCTGTATTGTTTTATTTCATTGCTGCATTCATAATGCAGACTAAATTGTTTTATGCCCACTTTCTTTGAATGCATAAACAATTATTTGTGCTAATTCCCTTTCGTGGGTCACCCTGTAAGAAGTTTTTAAATTTTTGCGATGTCTATAGCATATGTATAACGGATTTCTCTATTTTATTAAATTGTAGTTGAAGAGAGAACACAATGGCCAATATGCTGAAGAATTTGCAGCTGAAAGCAGATGAAAGAAGAACTTATCTCCAACAACAAAACAGACAATTGTTGCTAGAAATGGAATCAAGGCTTCAAAGTCGTTCAAACTGACGAGAGACGCTGAAAACGTTGATGATGCTGAGGAAGAAGTTTTTCCAACTGATGGTAGGTAAATATTGTTTTTGTGACTGGCAGCTATTGCAAGATTTTATCCAAAACACTTTTTTTATCTTATCCGTAGCAGATTAAAAGTTTAGCAAAAAAAGTTAAGGCTAATAACAACATAAATTTATTGTTTCTTTTTTGAATGATTTTTCCATACCTTGTTGAAAGATCTAATAAAAAGACTTAACTCTGCTGTATCAGGTACGAGAAGAAATTTTTCTACATTTGTGAACATGTGAAGACATTTTGTCAAGTTAAAGGCAAAGTCTACGACATTAATGAGAGTGTATTACATTGGACTAAGAATCTATAACTAAAAATTTTTTTTTAAACATATAGAAACAAATACAATGCAAGAAATGTTATCCCTGAAAGGAATAAACCCAAAGCACCATTTCCTATCTTTGGCATATCGATGGAGGAATTAAGCAAAACAATTTTCATTGCAGGTGAAATCAACATTTTTTTGAAAGTTTCAGAAATTATCAAGCAGCACAAGCTCAAGCCTTTTTTACAGTTGTAACATAGAAATTCCTAAAGACATTTTCTTCAAAGAAACACGCTGAAGTGCTTTACTATATGAAAGTCTCATAAAAATGTTTTGTCCCTGATAAATGAACTTAATCACTTGAACTGAAATTAAACATTTTAAACAAGAAATTTGCTGTTTTCAACTGCATTTTATAGCATGCAGTTTGGCTTTCCCCTTAAGAACAACTTTAGAGTTGCAGTTTCAGTGTCTTGTTAAATATACAACGTGTAAGAGTGACTTTACACCTGCTTCGTGCGAGTTTTACAATGTCATAGTGTGACAGTGCTATCTTTTGTTGTACATTGAGTACACATCAGAGAAATATTAAAACAGTTGCTGGTTAATTAATCTCGCCTAATCGTGTTAACTTATAGTTTAATGTTGGATTCAGAAAGGGGGAAAAATTTGCCCTAACTTTACAGTTGATCGAACTTCACAAAATTTAGTTCTGGAACAAACAACCAAAATGGAAAAGGGAATGTAAAATACTGGCTAAGCACAATATCAGGGCTCATCATGCTGCAGGATACATAGGGAACACAAATATATGTAGAATCTAAACACATCTAGAATAACTATGAACCTAACACAAGAGCTTTACACAAAAATTTGCAAAAGCAGATTTTGAAGGGGCCAGTAACTACATTACACTTGAAAGGAATTGAATTAAAAGTGGGTGAATTTTTAGGACATTCCATGGGCTTAAGAAACAACAAGAAACAACAATCACGCACTGAAAAAATTTCAGCTCAGCATTAAAATATTCATCTCAAAGTAAATATTTAAGAGTTTCATTGGGTTATTCATACGAAAACCAGGTCTATATTTCATAGTTACACATTATCATTTTAAAGTGATACAAACTTTCCATTGATTGCCCACTATCTAACAAGGAACACCCTTTTGCCGCTTAGAAAAGTTTAAGGATTCACTAAGTCGAGAAATGTGAAACTTTCAACATCCTGAAACCATATGACCCAGTGTCAATTACTTCAAAGTGAGGCTGCTTAGAACAATGTTTTCTCACATCTTTCAATGCAACAGCCTCCTGCAAAACAGCAACTCTCACAAGAGACTATAATAGGAAATTCAAAAAATCTCCAAGTTGTTTGCACAATGTGAAACTCACTTTATCTATGCCTGTTAAGAGATAGAAAAAAATATCGTAGAAAAAAAGCCTATCCAACCCAACCCAAAATCGAAAAGTCTCTGGAAGATAATTCTTCAACCAAATCAACCGGAACTGCCTGACCTTAATTCTAGCCCTAACCAAAAAATTAAGATATTTTGGAATTGGTTTATGATTTAACATGACTTTGACTCGTAGATTTCATTTTAGATTATTTATAGTGTTAAAACGATTTTGACAATGTACAAAGTCGTTTTCAAAATTGCTATTGTGTCACGTTGTATCGAATTAACTTTTCTGACCTCAGTTATTACTTGAAAATAACTGAACTAGAAAAAAGGGGAAAAGAAGATCTTAACATGTAGCTATCGATTGTGCCTTGTGAAAATTTCGTCCTCTTCTAATACCTAATTCATAACGAAGAAAGAGATATATCTAGGCGAAGAAGTGGACAAGAATCTTCTTAACAAGAATCAACCAGCTAGCCTTTAGCTGAAAGCCTAGGCTTTTGTGAAATCGTTTGTTTTCGCTCGTGAATTGCACATGATAAGAGATGGCATTTGTAACGAAAGAAAGGGGAACTGAAAATGTGGATAAAAAGAATCATTGGCTTTTTGAAGAATTTCATACTATAGTATATAGTCTGGGCACATTGCGTTTTGTCTGTTTAAGAAACAAGTTATGGCACTTTCTAAGACCACCATGTAGCATCAAAAGACAATTTGTAACCACAGGAAGAAACTGCATTTGAGGCTGAGGCTCAAGCTGCTACGCCCTTAAATGTGAGTACCATATGTAACAAAGAATGACATCATAACGCCCTTGATGTCAAATTTGTTAAATGGTTGTTACGATCCTACGAAAAAATCCTATAAGACCCTAGGCAGGATATTACCAATGCTTACTCCATCCTAGTAAGAATCCGATGATCATACAGGACCTTACAAAAGATTATTTGCTCTTCTCTTACCATAATATTCTATGGAATATTACATTAACGAATTCTATAACATATTTTATGCAATATTCGATTGATGCTAATAGATCATGCAAGATCCTGTCACAAACTTGAAAGATCCTGTAAAATCGTCTACAGTTTTTTCTAGAAAGCAGGAATCAAAAAAAGCAGGCTACAAATTGAGAAAAACAGGTCATATTTGAGAGATGGCAGATGAAAAAATTAACCTTTCAAGTGACACATGCTTCCTTTACCACAACTATAGTTTTTAATTATTTATTAGAAATTCAGATATATGATGAGCAATTTGGATCATTTATACAAAAACCAATTTGTCAAAATAAATTGATATTTAAAGTTAATATACAATTGTATATTGTCAGGTAATGTAGAATTTAAGGTCAAGAGTGCCTCTACAACTTTCTCAGTAAATATGCCACTCTTATATGTTTAACATTGTAATAAAATCCACAAGGCAGCATGGTATAAGACTTTGACAATTTAAGAAAAAAAGAGCAGGAAATACCTATGCTCCTAAAAAATATTCAAAATGTCATGGCATATTTTTTTTTATTTTGAGCTCTTAGGTGAGTGATGCATAATTCCCACTCCTTGTATTTGTGAATGCACTCTGCCTTTGTGTTGACCACTTGAACTTTTCCATTTACACATCACCAAATACAAAATAAAAAATACAGCTTATCCTTCACATTGCCATAATAATGCAAAAAAAACTCTTGTAACTAATTAAGAAGGTACATACCTTGTTTGGTCAAATATCATACCTTCATTTTCTTTTTAAAGAGAAATAATTAAAATTCTTTACAATGGCAATTTTCATCCACTATTCTTCTATAAGGATTAAAAGATCAAGAAAAATACATAAGTATACTAAATACACTACAAAAAAGCATATCAAAAAAATATGAGCAAAGATACAAAATTTCACTTAAATCTGTCAAAGACACTTGATTGGCCAATAATATTAGTATTGTCACACACAAAATTAAACAATACAATTTTCCAGAATATTAACACCAGAGCTTTTTGATAAGCTAAATTAGCTGTTGGATACATCTATTTCCTCCCAGAAATGGAAACAGGAATTTTCATATTTGTCAAAAAATTATTGCATGAAAATCATACATTGCATGATTTTTGATGTCATATTTGTAACAACAAAATGTTTTCATTAAAACTTATCGATGTATCAAAACTAAGTTTTCATTGTTAACAAATGATGCAAATGGCAAAGGACAAACAGCTCTGTTCTGGGTAGGGATTATCAGCATGCTTAATTATCAAACAAAATAAAAATATGGTAAAACATTATCCAACATTCTACATGCACAGGCCATAAAATGAGAATTCATGTTGGTTGTTGTGTATGAGAATAACCATGATACATTTTTTAATAAAATGCTCTGACTTCTTAAAAATTGATTGAAAGTAATAAGGATTAAATTGAACAAGGATTACCAAGAACAAGCTGTCATTGTTACTTGAGATCAATGACATGACTAATCTAAAAATTATGAAAAACAATATCAACTTTACAGTGATAGAACATGTTGACATACTATTATATCTTTACAATTAACTAAGATTGACTTGCTTTCACTGATTCAACGAGCTTAAATATTAACATGTAAGGATTTACCTTATAAAATCGAAGAAAGACCCAGAAACAAAAATGCCATTTGTTGTCATGTGTTAATACTTCTGATAAAAACTACAATAGCATACAATTAAAAATATAATTGTAATTAGTTTGCATAGCAACAAAATGGCCCTCAAATTCTCAAAGCTGACACAAAGCATGGCAGCTCAATATAAAATTGGCAGAACCAAATTGAATAGACTGACCAATTGCCAATGCCACAAACTTATTGCGAAACATCAACAACAGAAAATTAAGAGATGACTTAAAGAAAAACAGTCAATATTGTCACAGTAAATACTAATAGTGGTACTGCACATGGTAACATAAGTTGAGAAGAACATGAACATTTTAGTCAATAAATCCTAACCTTGGTCTGTGTAATCAATAAATCCTAACCATCAATGCTCAAACTTAGAAACGATGGAAACAGCTTTCGAAAAGGGCAAATAATTGCATAAAGATTTGCTTTTCAATGTGCATTGCCTTGATGCTTTGTGCGTGTTCCTTATAACGTACTAATTGAGTTATGATAATAATAAATAGCCATCATCAAAGAATCAGTTTTATCCAGAAATTCAACTATAAAGAATAAATTTATTGATGATTATATAGAATATTATGAAACTTTACCTCAATGGTGGAAAGCAGTTTTTTTAGATCTATTCCAAAGTAATATTTGCTAAGTTCGTTTGATTGAATGTAACGATGGAGCCCAAATCCTATTGATGTTCGATCTTCTAGTGAAGTGAAAGTGACTGAAATCCGTATTGATTAGCAGCGATTTTTCAAAATACCATGGAAGTTGCGCTGATTTTATAACATTTTCAAAATTTGTAATGAATGAAAAAATTCAATACAAATTTTCTTTGGAAAGAAGCCAACAATCATCACACAAAACATAGGTACGCGCGTACATGTGGGTAGCCACAAAATAGACGGCAAACACATAATATATATTAAACATTGAACTTTGTTTTAAACATTGACGGCAAGTACGTGATTTATAAAATTTTCGACATTGCAAAAATGTGCTATGAGCTCAATCTTTAGTCGAATGACCAACCCAAACAGACCTTTCGGAATCAGAGGCGCAAGTGGTACATACCAAATATATTTGAGAGATGTAATACGTTCTAGGTTGTGATATGGTTGTAAGTAATAGAGTAGTGGGCTTATTGACTTCTTTCGTTTGCGCTTATAATGTATAATCCTCACTCAGGTCACAGTACTTTGGTGAGCAAAGCGCAAAGAAGAAAGCAAATGACTGTATTTTTATACGAGTCTTAAATATATTAAAGTAAACTTCTCGATGTGGATTTACATGAAGATAAAGTCATATAAAAATACATCAAGCCTTATGATACATTTCAAACACAGTGCGACGAATTGTTTATTTAAAAATATTTTGGTATGTGCTCCCCGTATTTAGAAAAAGTTACGTAATTTTCATTTGAATGATGAGTGAGCTAAAAGCACATTTTTGCAATTCTTAACCATTTTAAAAGTTTGATTTTGTCCATCTATTTTCCATACACTTTATGGCTTCCCCACACCCATTTGTTAGCTTGTTAAACGCTCTTGCATATATTACATGTCACATGACTTAGCTTACATCGTTAAGTTTAAGTTGCAATAAATAAATATGGTCAAATATGATTTCAAACGAATTTAGATATGTATTTATTGAAATTTTTGCTGAAAACTATTTTTTGATATAAATATTGAATTTCATCAGCTTTTTTTTTCAAATAATTTTCTCACGTATATAAGTGATATGTTGTTCAGTCAACCGATAAATCAACGCACTTCATACGAATTGTATTTATTTACATTATAAGATGTGACACTTGAATAATGAATATATGTTCGGTAATTTTGCTAAAATGGGTTGTGCTATTTTGTTGCTGTTTTGTTGGAACACGCATACTGATCTTATGACTGATGGTAAGTAAACAAAGCGGGATGCCAGGAACAACACTAAACGTAAAGACCCTGAAAGATGCTTGCATAGAAATGCATGTTTTGCGATTAAGAATTTTAGCATTTGAATTACAGAAATATTTCAGACCGATACGAATCTGATATCTATCAAATTACCATGCTTAAAAACGGGGTTGCTAGGTAGCATTATGCGATAAAGAAATCCATAAAAGGCAATACGAACTTGTAGGCGAAACTCCTTATCCTTGTACAGATGGAGAAAAGAAAATGAAACTAGAGTGAAAGTAGAAAATTAGCCACCCTAAATGTTTTAGTCATACTTACAACAAAAACAATTTTCGTTTACTTATGTGCCATTTTTACTTATCTCAATTTTCTCTTTCGTTGATAAGTGCAGACTGCCAATCAAAGGCTTGAAAGGATAATTTAGTGACCAAAGAACATAGCTTCAGTTCTGGTCGCTAAGCATTCAGATGGTTTTTAGGAGAAACACTTTTGAAAACTACGCGCATAAACTTTCTGTTTACATTTTCAGTTGGGATGTAAAAGCATTTATGGTTATTTAAAATGGAATATTCTAGCTGATAGTTCGTAAACAATGCTTTCTCTAATTTTCTAAATTTTCTTCAAAGTCATACATAATATAAATCCTAACAAGGTTTTTGTATTCACATGAAAAATATGTGACTTGGACGAGATTTGAACTCGTACCTTCGGAATACAAGTCCGCCGCTTTACCTGTGGAGCGGTGATGCGGTGGCACAGATGATATAGTGCCATCCAGTAACTGCTATTATGTCATAATTTTAAATTAGCTTGCAGACAGTATACAAGCAGTGGAAAGCTTCATTAACAATGACAGAAATTGACTGGGACATAAAAATAGTGGTGAGTGTACGATCCACGACACGTCTATGAAAGACGACGTACGCGACACTGTGTTCTAGGGCGGTTGCGTTGCCATGCCGTTTGCTGGGTTGTCAATCAATCGTTCTACCCTTAAATTCGGCATTTTTCGTCGCAAAACCAACGTAAGATTTCAGAGGTAAACTTCTTGCAAAACGTTGGTCAAAATAACGCTACTTTCCGTTTTATTATAATTTCGTTTAACCCTTTATTTTATACCACGATTTCGTGCAGTGTAAACCTATAAAGATAATATTTGACAATATATGCATGACAATAAATCCGCCATTTTTTGTTTTAAATGTTCGAGCTCATCGCATCATGTTGGGTTGTCAAATCGTAACAAAGTTTTTGATCTAAAACGCCAACGCACTGACCGCGCTAGAGCCCATTCTCACATACTTCGTCTTGAAGGACGCGTCGCTAATTGTAAACTTGCTGGTAATATTTGAGAGAATACGAACGTCAAAATAATTGGCTTTTTTGTTAGTAGACTTATAGTCGAGGATTTAAGGATGGACAAGTATTAAATACATTGTCTCAGAAGCAAAGCTATTCATTGTTATGGTATAAACAGATAAATTCATACCAACTTGATATTTAGTTGCTGAAATTGTAATGCAATCGATAGAGGAACGGCGCTCACGACTTACAAACATGCACTACCTTTTTGGTTCCGCTACGTAGATGACACAATCACAGCACTACATGAAGACGAGATTGATGACTTTCACACTCACATCAACAAACAGAACAGCCACATACAATTTACCAAAGATGTCGAAGAAAACGGAGCTCTTCCTTTTTCGACTGTTTGGTAAAACATGACAATCAAAACTACGAACAACAGTTTATCGCAAGCCAACACATACTGACCGACTACTAGACGAATCATCTTACAACCCTACATCACACAAAGCCACCACAATCAGAACATTAACAAGACGTGCACAAATCATATGTGATTCACCGGACGCTCTACAAACAAGAAAACAACTATCTCAAACGTGTTTTTGACAAAACAACTATAACTCTAACTTTATCAAACGCAACCCTTACAAACTTAACAGACAACAAGAACGAACAACTCAGTGACAACAGCAACGATACCTTACATGAAAGGTACGTCTGAGACTATCTCGCGTATCATACGACCATACAACACAGGTGTAGCATAAACCAATCACAACGTTACGACAAGTACTAACGAACATAAAGGACAAAGAACAACCAACGAACGACAAGGTGCAGTTTACAAAATAAACTGCTCCGACTGCCACCTCCTATATCGGGGAAACTGGCAGGAACTTAAACATAAAACTTACTGAACACAAACGAGCTACTAAGAAACAAAACAAAACTAATCACATTGCCGAACATCACCGAATCACAAAGCACAACATTGACTGGGACTCGGCAAAATGTATTACTTACAGTACTGACTATAGACAACGGATTACATTAGAAAGTTGGAATACCAACTTAGAACAACCCCCTGAATCACAGCAATTACCGGCACCTTACAAACGACTTACTCAGAATACAAACAAACGATCAACTAAAACATTTCACTTCACACTAATTCAAATGACAATACACAATTGACACCCACACATTACAACTAAATACATCACACCTAAATCACACATCACAACTAAAAATAAAAATATTTCACTTCACACTAATTCACAATGACAATACAAATTTCTTGTACAAACAATACAATGACGTAAGAAGCAGATAACAAATACGGCTAACCTGACGTTTACTCTTCATTTGACTCTAAAGATGACTACGACTAAGGTGTCGAAACGTCAGTCAACAACAACAAAAAGAATCCTTTTCAGGACTATTTTAACCTGGACGATCGAGATTTACAAACATGTAACGATACTCCCAGGTTCAAACCATTTACTTTATATTTTTTTCTACTGGCTTTCTTTATTTACTAATTTGCATAAGTCTTTCTTGTTATAGTGAAAGTAAAAGTTCTCAATTGTTTTTTTTACCAGAAGGAGCTCGAAGAATGAAAACCTATGTAACTCGGACAAACAAAGATAAGCCGGCGTTTTAAATTCAAATTTTCCTGTATTGTCACAAGATTACACGCATGAGTGACCAGAAAGCCTGGGCCCAATCTAAATGTTTCTTGGATTGCTTCACGCGCGAGTTTTGCTAACAACTTATACGAAATAACATAAAATTCACTTACATATTATAAATACATATATTGCCATCGCTACATGTGACACTACATGCACTGAATTTCACTGTGCTACTCAGCCACTATTTTAAATACACAATTATAACCAAACTCTGTTTTCGAGCAGATCGAGTTAATGTTAATTATGACCAGCGTTTTCCTCCTTTAGAATCTCTATTGCACACGTCTGAAAAAATTAGCTCTAAATTTGTTAGTAGTCAAATGCTTTCTTTTGTAGTTTACTATATCTACATTTGATGACAAAATCATTAGATTAGGAATTGATGATTCATTCATGTAATCTCTTCTCTGTAAATATTTTGACTGAACTCTTAATTCAAAACTTGACACTACGTTAGCTTTGAAATTGGTACTTTTAAATATTGACTTGGTTCACTGTTCTTCTATGCATTGAGAGCAAAAACCGAATAAAATGGACACAAGCCCCCGAAAACGTTCAAATCATATCAAAAATGATTGCCTATACTGAGTATGTATTTCGTAAGTCAGAAAAGTACTATGCCTTTAAAACATAACTTGACTAAAAATTCCACAACATCTGCGGATTAATGAAACAATTGATCTTTCAAACATTTCAGTCAAACAATTTCCATGTCATCATATAAGTAATACATCAACTGCAAAAAAACTTTATTTTTCTCAATGCAAGAACTCAAGTAAAAAGAGTCACTTTTCAACAGGGAGGAGGAATTTTCTTGACTGCACCTTGGTTAATTTCTTTGACAACAAGTTTTACGACAACAATCGCGTCTCCAAAATACTCAACTCTGAAAAGATAATCTTCTAGTGAAAATGAAACAATCTGAACAATTTCTTCATTTCCACTGGTAAATGCTCCAATACCGATAACATAGATTTCCACCGTCATCTCTCAGTTTCTTTCGCATTTGGTACTGTTTGGCTTTTATCTACGTTTGAATGTCCACCTGTCAGAAGGAACACCATTTGACGTGCACCGCGACGGCTTCCTATATAAATTACGCGAAAATGAAGAGAATACGTAGGGCTGATAGTTTGAGAGATAGATGTTCTATGCAAATTATAGAAGAAAATGTTGTTGTTTAATTAATATTAGTATTGCTATTTTACAAATACTGATGCTAGATAAACCAGTTTTAACGATTTTATTGTAACGCAATATTACTGAGAGAAAAGCCAATGATATCAAACAATGATATCCACATTTCAAAGATCTTAGACGAATTGAAAGTCATTCCTCTTTTGATGAAACTATACTTAGCAAAGTCCCACAAATCTGCAGCCTTTTCATTGTTATTTCTCTTACGCTTGTTATTAAAGAAGTAAAATCTAAAAAAGTGCCTTTTAGAATTTTAAATTAGTACGTACACGTTCAGATTTATTTATTTAGATTTATGTAACTTTCAAAATTTTAAATTTCAGCTTTTAACTAGCATGAAAAATAGAGAAATATTTGTAAGCAGCGTTTTGTTGATAAACCAGTTAGTAATAAACTTTTTGTCGAACCCGTAGAATCATCAAATAAATTTTGTTTTGAAGCCGTCAACAGTGTCTTCAGAACTCTTTTATGTTGCCGATAAACGTTTCTTACCTTATGGTAGAAATTGCCAGAGTCAATGAGTAATCGGTTGTAAGCCGACAGTGATTTTGTTGTGATGTGTGATTTATGACGTTTTAAGCTGGCAACAATTGTATTGTCAGAATCTCAGTGAACGTTTTGAAGCCATCACCTTGCAGGTATTGGTGAATTCGTATAGGTGAAGTGATTCGTCACGTTTGTTCTTTGGCATACTGTCTTCATGGAATTTGCCGTTCATAACGTATAGATGAAGAAGCAATTTCGATAATTTTGTTCATTGTTTTTATCATGTTTGTTTCAAGGTTTCAGTTTTCCCGTATGGAGTGGTAAATACAAGTTTATTTGCAAGACCAATTTCATCTCGTTAATAAGCAGAGCCATTTATCTGATCAGGATTGGTTTAGACATTCGGTGCTGTGGTCTAATGCGAGATGGTGACGCATTTTGATGTTACGTTGCAAAAACATGAAAGTTGTTTTCGTTCGTTGTTTCGTTGTTGTAGGCTTGTTGCCGATAATTCGAGTTATAGTTGTTGTCAAAACAGTTTGCCTTTGCAGCCGTCCGGTGAATCACACATGACGGTGCAAGTTGCTGGTGAAAGCTTAAAATCAGAACACAATGTTTTCACCACAATAGAACACAACAAGACGTGCACAAATCATATGATTCTCCGGAGCTCTACAAAAAAGAAAAACAACTATTCAAATACGTTTTTGACAAAACAACTTAACCCAGACTTTACCCAACACTTCAAAACCCAACGAACCCAATGAAACGAATAACTCACTGACAACAGCAACGATATTTACATCAAAGGTACGTCTGAGACTATTCGCGTATCTTACGACTATATTAACATACTGTCGCACATAAAACCAATCACAACATTGACAAGTACTAACGAACATAAAGGACAAAGAACAACCTAACGAACGACAAGGTGCAGTTTACAAAATAACCATGATGCCATGCCTCTATCGGGGAAACTGGGTAAGGAACTTAAACATAAGACTTACTGAGCACAAAAGCTACTACTAAGAAACAAGACAAAACTAATCACATTTGCCAACACCGAATCACAAAGCAATAAATATGACTGGGACTCGGCAAAAATGCATCACTTACAGTACTGATATAGACAACGAAGACATTAGAAAGTTGGTATACCAACTTGGAACAAATCTGAACAGATCACACACAATACTGGGCACCTTACAAAACGACTTATTCTTGAATACAACAAAAGTTCAACTAAAACATTACACTTCAAATCAATTCACAATGACAATACACAATTGACAATTTACACACTACAACTAAAACGTCACACCTAAATCACACATCACAACTAAAAATAAAATATTTCCTTCACACTAATCCACAATGACAATACACATTCTGCATTATTCCTTGTACACAATAATGACGTAAGAACTAGACAACAAATACGCTAACCTGAGTTTACTCCTCATTTGACTCTGAAGATGACTACCGCTAAGGTTGTCGAAACGTCAGTCAACAACATCAAAAACAGTCCTTCTCAGGACTTTATTAACCTGGACGATCATCATTTACAAACATAAAACCAGTTAGTAATGACTATTATAATTTTTCAACTTCATTGTTTATGTAACTATTTTTTGTCGTCTCACCTTTCGTAGAATCATCAAACAAAGTTTTTGCTTGTTGCCGTCAGCAGTGTTTGTCAGCCCATTTCATAGCTGAATAAATCAGATTTTGTGGCAGCTTGTGAAGAAGGAAAGAAATTGAACATAATTCTTGCCTAATTGGAATACTGAACACCAGCCCAGTTACCATCGTAGTTGGGAGGCAATGTTATATTCATGAGATTTTTCATTGCCTGTTTTCCCTTCTTGTACTCACAATCTCCAATGGAACCAGATGAATCCATTACAACAATAGTGTCTTGAAGATAAACTCTTCGTTTATTTAGGAGAGAAAATGGCAGACAAAATAATTTCTTTACAATTTTATCTGCTGTCACATTTATAGGAGGAATTTGTTTGAATTCTGAAATAAATAGTTGAAGAGCGCAGTTTCACACAATACCGAAAATCGTTTGAATTCTATGGCATTATTTGACATAATAGCAAAAAGTTGAGTTTATTCTATCCAAAAGTAACCAGCTGGTACACTACAACAATATATTTAGCGCCAAACAATTTCATAACTTTAACTTACTGTCATAAAACTGCTTATTACTGATCGGAGGTAAAGGGATTTGGTGTAGTGGCTCTAATCCAAAATGGTAGTGTACTTTCCACTAATGTTATTCTACATACAAATGCAAGAGCTTACTGGAAAGGTGAAGCTAAATTCATGTTAGGACTTGAATGTTGAATTGATATCTCTTAATGATATAAATAACTTTAAATATTAATAATTTCTTCGGCCTCATTCTGGTGTAAAACCTTCACAAAGTACTTGTTTTGTTCATGCAAAAAATCTTTAACTTTTAGCCTAGTTTTCACTGCGACATAGGCACAAGCAAGAAACCAAAGCAAAGCATTATTCTCCAAAGGATAGAGGAATAAAAGAAAAGGAATTGGTTTTACAATATACTTTTGTTTCACCTTAATTGCTTATGTCAGGATCCAGTACTCTTGCTTATGCTTATATGTTGATGATTTTGTTGGCCGCTTCATCGCATTCTTTTTATTTTTCTTTTGTTTTGTCCCTATGCTTTTGTCCCAAGTGAATACCATGCTTAAAAGATTCACTTTTTAACAAAAATTAGCATTTCAAACTGAGCTACCTTTAAATCTACTGTTTGGTTCGAAGTGTTCATTGTGACATTCATTAGTTATACGTTCCAGATGTGAGAAAAATGAACAAAAACGTTTCTTTCAATTTGCGTGGTATAATAACAATAAGTATGTTGTATTTTGTTAATAGGAGCACTAAACTTGAGGTTTTACTAGGAAACTCGCAATCGAAGAATAAAAATCTTAAGCATGAAAATGTGTAAACCATTTTCACAAGGTAGAGTATACTTAAAGCCAAATAAAATGTCACCCAAGCAATTTATTATTACAGGATGCTTGGAAACTCATATAAGAAAAATAGTTTGAATCTTATTTTATAACAAAGAATAAATAACATAGAACGGCATGATCTTTATATCTACTAACTTTGGTTTATGTAATACATGCATTTATTGTTTGAAATTCTGCTAATGCAAATTTAACTCTGTTTGAAAAAAGTCTTTTTTTTCTGATACAAGTAAAAAGAGGATGAATGGTATAGTGCCACCATACAGGGCGTGCGTTCAACAATGAGATTCACCAAACGCATTCATATCATGAGGATTTAAAATAACTGTGGAACGTCGTTAAATAATTGCATGGCTTTCATCATTTTGAGTGTATTGATTTTGAAGTTTAAACTTTCGATAATTTGGAGAAAATTTACTAAATGCGTGCTCAATTCGATCAACTTCAGCATAGAGCGATAAACGTTCAATTTAGTTTTGTAAATATTTGTCTCGTCGTTACTTGATAACCATGAACGGATTTCAATCAAGATTTTTAAATATAGGAACGTAACAAATCAAGACATATTTTGGCCATGAATTTTTGCTTGGTCGTGAACAGTCGTCAACGGTGCAAGTGAGTCAAGGCATCATTGACTAAAAGAAAATATAGTATCAAAGTAGTATGCACACCGATAGCAAGAGGAGTCAAGAATAATTAAAAAATGACTTGGCCAATGAAATAAATGGATATAATCATCAGATGGTACGAGTTTTGTGCGCTTAACCGCTGTCTCCGTAAACAAAAATGCGTTTCAAGTAAGAGCTTCCGATAAAAATAAACTGCAACTCGGAATTGGAAAAAAGAAAATACGTAATTACTCATCATTTTGGTGACCTTAGTACTCAAAATGGAATAATTTTTTTTAACGAAAATATGCGTGAGTCGCATGACTCTTTTGACATACCCTAAATCCACCCCTGATAACAACTGCTGAATATATTTCTTTGTAGTTTTGTCTCATTCAAATACGTAAGTACACACATGTTGGTCGGCTATTAGCTCCCCCCAAAAATGTAACTTAATGGCATCCGCTGCACGTTTTGTTTGCTTGTATACTTGAGAAAAGACGTATTTTAACATATTTTGGGGCAATTAAATCTCTTCGTGGAAATGGTGAAAGACATATAAAATAATACATTTAAACAAACATTAATTAATCGTCTGGGTGTTGCCTTTATTTGGAACAACTTCATTTACCTGATATGTTCTAAACATAAGCAGTTTTCCAGTTGCAAAGGGTGGAACACATAATTTTATACATTCAAAAAATTGCCACCCCCCAGTCAATTTCAAAAAATGTTTCTTGTATTCTATGTCATCAGTACTCAATCCTTCATCGTTGAAAAACGCTTTCGGCAAACTATGCATCCCCCCTTTCAAGCAATGCATTTCACGAGTACACCATTTTCCCAGTTCAAAATCAAAATAGGAAACCAGTGACTGATCAAGCTGCTCCGTATAGCAAAATACAGAATGTCCACGAACAGCATCATTAGACCATGGCAAAAGATTTACAAGTTTAACTAAATCCAAGTCTGCTTGATCTTTAACAGGTAATTTAGCTTTGATTACATCGATATTACTTTCAAGAAAGCTTTCCAAAGGTAAACTGACTCCAGATTTTAATCCGACGTCCTCATGCATTGACTTGATCATGAACACTTTCTGATTTCGACAACCAAGTGTAAAGCTGGGTCTGTATCAGCACCGATTGTTTCAGCAAAAAAAATGGAGCAAGTTTACTAAGCCCTTAGCTAATAACTGAGGGCCAGGCCTTTACAGAGAATTATCCGACAGAGGTCTTTATGCACAGACCAAACCCGTAGGGGGAGGTTTGTACAAAAAGACAGAGGTCTGATTTTTCTAAGTAAAGACCGAGAAAGCAAAGTTAGTAAAAAGTTTATTATATGGCATTATTTGACCTAAAACAAAATTGCTTTCTTCCTCTTCTTTGCTACTTTGTACGGGATGACTTTCACTTTTCTTTTTTGTGTCAGTAAAAAAGGAATCGCTTCAATTTGTATCATCTGGAAAGTTGAATTGTTTTCCGTGTGTTTTTCCTTCGACTCACATTTGCAAATGGTTTTTTGCTTCGTTTTTTTTTCTGTTTGCTTTACAAAGTTCGTTTACATTTGATTGCAATATGCACTGCATATAACATTCTTTCATATAACATTTCTTTCATGGGAAAACATGAGCCCAACAAATTGAACTGCTCTCTACTGTGTGACTTCATAGCACAGTTGGTTAGAGCACTGCACCGGCACCACAGAGGTCATGGGTTCGAATCCCGTTGAGTCACCTGTCTTTTTCAGGTTCATGAGACAATTGCTTAAATTGTCTAGCAAAAAGTGCGAAGATCATATCTTCATTTAATTTCAACACCGCACTGCACATAACATTCTTTCATATTACTACAACATCTCGGAAATTTTCAGCAAAAGGAAATTAAAATATTCCCGCTGTGGCTCAGGCAGGCCACAAAATTTTATTTGTAGGATGATTAGTTCACGTTCATTTACAGGTTGAAACTTTCCAATATATTGTTTGTGCTAACTGTATGTATGTGTAACTAAACATGAAAAAAGTGTGAACAATTTGCATATATATCTATAAAGAGTTACTATTTGTTATTTTCTTTAATTTTTGCGAATAAGGAATGATTCAAGTAAACGTATTTCGACACTTTTTGTTTTCTATTGTTATACTTTTTAGGTGTTTTATTTAAAAAGTAAATTAATGAAAAAAAAGGAGTTTTGTCTTTTGATGAATTGAAAGGCTCTTTTTAGCTTTCTCTTTCATTGAATGGCAGTGTCATAAAGAAAGTTATCCTTCTTGGAATATGCATTTGTCAATATAATAATAGCCATGCTTGAAAACTTCCACTCCAAGCTTTCACTTGAAAAAATGAACATCATAAAGAACCACAAGCATTAAAATTGAGGAAGAAGTTATAGCTACTGTCTTTGAATGTCATATACTTTGTATTGATGTCTATATCCAGAGGACGGTAACCAATGCTCAGCACAGCAGCTACTTCGATATCCTTTTATCTCTCCAAGTCTCATGTGGAGCAGTTTAAGCAATAACATCGCTTCAGATAAGCTTGACGCTGAAAAAGATCAAGGGAGAAATCAAAATGGCTGTGATGTTGGATATGCCCTGATTTGATGCTTATTCCTTACGGCTGCGCTGCGAGAAATTGAAGAGTTCGGAGCGAATTTGAGTTGTTGCAAATGCTTGGAAAAAGGAGGGTCTGTTTCAGTTGTAAAGGTAACTTTTTATTAAATAATCGTTTAAATAGACGGTAATTTTGTCATGTGAAAGAAAATTTGTATATGATTTAATATTTGAAATGTTTTATATACGCTTTGATACGTAATAAATTGACGGCTGTCTATATGCGATCAAAAGAATTCCTTTGTATCCGAAAAGTGTTCCGTTAAATTGCTAAATTGCTCGAGAAGAGAAGTTCCTTTCTAGATTGAACTATGCAAATATTGTAAGGTAAAAGAAATTTACTATCCAAAATGAATCAAAATTTTATAACATTAAGAGTTGAAAAAGTTAGACGATACAAATTGCTTTGCTTGTTAAATGTTATCTTTGTAAAACTATTATAAAAAGTAGATAGTCCCATTTTTCATAAAGCCATGGATGCTTTTGTTCATGATTAGAAAGTTATAATATATTAGAAGGTTCTCGTTTGTCACAAGAGTTATGAGAAAGTTACATTGTAAAAGACATCTAAAAACGTATAGTCAAAGAGGCAGAAGTTTTTAACCTTTACAGTATCCTTGGATGTTCTAGTTTCTCTTATGAGATAAACAAAAAGATATAATTCAAAAGCGAAAGACCCCGTTTTCGTTGCTTCCCGATACCTCCTTAAGCGTAAGGCACTAGAACGCCGCATGTTAAAGTTTCGGTTGGAGATTTTGGCCCCTCCACGCTATCCTACTTGAGGATGCCAATACGTAGCAAGCTTCCGCCCATCAAACCCCGAGATCACTTGCGATAGCCTTTGCTCGGGGAACGCAGGGAGAGTGCGGTTGCGACCGAAGTGTGGGCCCCTAAGCCGCTGCATACTATATTGCACCCAGCTTCCACTGCTAGCTAACATCTACTATATGTAGTTTTACATATATATATACCTAAATTCAAAGGCTTACAAAAGTTGTGGCATTATTACAGGTCACTACTGCGCATGCCCAGATGATTTCTTTGATAATTTGCGATTAAGTGAGCTAATTGCCACAAATGTAGTGCAAGTACATATATTTAGTCGTTGCCATGACTACGAACAATTGTTCGAGTGGACTGCGCATGCTCGAGCGCATGATTAGATGATTTCCCTATTAAATTGTTACTAAGCATGCTATTTACTTCAAAATCAATTCTAGTAGATGCAATTGGCCTTTGCCATAACCATGAAGTTGGGCAGCTAATAAATCGACTGTTCATGTGATCAAACAGACTGCGCATGCACAGATGATTTATCTGAAAATTTGTGACTGAGCGAGACAGTTATTCCATAATCGATACTAGTACTTACAGTTGGTCGTTCTCAATTAATTTGTGACCGAGTGAGCTCTGAATTTGGTGCTTGTTTATGGTATGCAAATTTCACTAATGTATTTTGGCATGCTCTTTGTCTTCTTAAGCTTCTTTGACAAATGCATCAAAATTATCAACACATTGTCACGCCACTCGTAATATTCGTGACAATGTTAGATGTTTATTTTCTATAACTTTGTATCTGTATATTTTGCCCATAAACAATGCTCCAATATTTACGACAGATACTATAATTCGTGGATTGAGGTAGAACAGATACTTGAAAATAAAACCTCCAACAGTGAAACAAAATCAAGCAAGACAGAGGAAAAAGAATAACGCCAGGTTGAAGAAACCTAGCGTACGCTAGAGAGTTTTGCATGAAGATTCGTGGAAATATCATAGAATCACATATACAGTTTGGAAGCTCGTTGGCTCACGTGGTATATGGTAGTTGGAGCTCTTCATGTTGCTGAAGAAATGTAAAAATAACTACCACTGTCTTTACTTAAGGACGAGGCATCTGATTTCGAAAGTGAAGAGGCAATCACCACAAGAGATTTGCAAAAGAGTACTCAAAGTGTACTCTTCAAATTTTTGGTATATACAATTGGAGTATTGTGAGGAATGTTATTGACGAGGGATAGTACAAGGACCAATAGAGAATGTGGCGGCTTCTTTTTAAAGTATAGCGATGTGTTTAAACACATAGCGGAAGAGAGTTGAGAACACTGGCGAAAAGTATTTAAATTGCTCAAAAATTATTTTGAATTTAAAAACAGCAGTGCGAGTTATTTATTTATCTAAGCCAGATCCACTGACTGCTTGAAAAAGTAGGATGCATATATGTCTTAAAAGACAAAGCGAAATGTAAATTTTGGTCAATAATAACTGTATGCATGCGTGATGAAAAATATAAAATGGTTTACTTTTGTGGGCTGGGAGGCTACTGCCTAAGGTTAGAAACTCAAACTTACTGAAAAGCAAATAAAGACTCAAATAACTCAATAGCTACTCAACTAATGCATTACTGAATATACAACTCATTTCTCAAAGAAAATCATTTATGGAACCATGTAGATCGTCCAAGCTATTTGAGCTCTAAAAATGTCAATTATCACGTATTGAAATCCTTGTGATTTAAATTGACTTTTTCAAATCAAAGCACGATTAGCTCTAATTAATATACTCTATATATGGGCAAAACAGTCTGTATTTTGTATCTTTTATGTATTATGTACAAACATTTATATTTTAGACTGACAGACCAAAAATATTAAACTATCAATGACAAAATCTTTAGATTTTAACACTCTTTATGTGACGTTAAATGTTTCTAATTTCACAAACTTACAACGCTTGAAAATATTATAAGGAAAAAGTCCTAGCAGACCAAAATTTAGTGTCGTTTGTTGTTGGGATGCAAAAAGTTAAAGTACTTCATGTAACTACTGCTGTCTCTTAGAAAAGTCTCGGAAATTTTTCAGAAAAAAAAGTTCTTTTGAAGAAAATTCCGGAAAAGTAAAACATGTTTATTTTTTTAATTTACTTCATTTACTTGGATATTTAACTAACTTTAATATAATTTCATCCTCTTTCAATGATGTGTATCTATATAATATAATTTCATCCTCTTTCAATGATGTGTATCTAAATTTAACAAAAAAATTAATCGTTGAAAAGACTGAAACGTTTTCAAATAAAACAACAAAAATTATAAAATCCTTTTAAAATTTGATTTAATTTTGAAAAGACGAATTACTTGAAATGCGAACACAGAAAAAGAAAAGTGATTTAAAAATCTTATAAATCAGTACGTCAACGACCAAATACATGAAACTATAAGGTAGATTATAAAGGTTTTCATAAATAGTGGACACAAACTTTAACCTCAATTACAGAAAAAGCTCACAACGTATGGTTCCAGGTTCTTTCCATATGTCGTTCATAAACTTGAAATGCAGCTTTTAAACCACTTTCTAAAGCACCTTGTATCCACATACGGGTAAAAGAAATTCTTTCACCAGCGAAATGAACGTTACCCATCAGCTCCCATAAATGCCTAATTGGGTAAAAAAATATTATGTATGTTAGCTAAAAAGTAGTTTGATTAGAAGTCTACCATATATAAAGATGAAATTTCCCATATTTCTAAATCACTTTTACAAATATAAGAGCAAATTGTTAAAACAAAGAACAAATGTTGTCAAATTGCGCTACAAAAGGCCATTTGTTTTTTGTACGTTAAGAAAACGAAAATAAAATTATAATTTTCTTTTCGTTTTTCTTGTTTTGTTGCGCCAATCTCTAAAAAACCAATTTCTAAATTGAATTTTTTTGTTCTGGAGAGTGTGACATTGTAGTCCTAGTTATAATACGACTGCGTGTTTACTCTGAAAATCAGACCATTAATTTAACCAAAAGTGTACATTCAAAACAATATGACTTGCAAAACTTCCTTGTATCTGCGAGGTAAAAGGACGGGTAAACAAACTGTAAAATATAAATACAACACAAAGTGCAAAATAATGAACTTTCTTCGCTTGATAGATTCATATATTCTCCTTAAACCATCAAATATCGTTTCGTTGATACTATGTCATCGACAAGTAGAATCTGTTACGACTTCGCGGCATTAAAAAGTGTAGTATTCCTAGCTAGCTACATGATGATTATAAAACTCGTGTTCGCTTGCTTTTGTTTACCACAAAGGAAACATTATTGATTATAAAGTTTCAAACGAAGTTTCAAACGAGCTCAACGAAGCAACAACGTTTGAAAACTACATCGTGCGTTGACCTTGCACGGTGAACCATCAAAGCTGCTGTCCTGCTATTTTTGCAAAAGCTTGCTTTTATACAGGGAATATGCAGCTAAGCGTTAATGAGATGTTTAATCTTTTGCTTACACTTGAATTTAATATTGGTTATGCAGAGGTGGATAAAACAAAAAAAAACCCGATTTTTATTTGCATTTTTAAGGAGGAAAAAACGAAAACTAAAAGTAAATGTTTTTCGTTTTCCTAAAGCGTTAGAAAAAGAATGGCCCTTGAAGAAATTATAAGAAACAGGAAAATAGCCCCGAAATTTTCGCACCTTGTACTTTCGTAATGAGATGTTTTCACTTCTCCATACGATCCTTCATAATATGGCAGATTATTCCAAGCATGAACAATAAGGGTTGTCACCATATCTTCTTTGAAGGTTGGATGAATTTCTTCGAGTTGTTCAACTACTTTCCGTTTTACCACTTTTTCTTTCATCGACCCAAAAAAGCCTCCTTCGTCCACGTGTAAATCATTAAAAGCCCCTCTTTCGTTTTGCAGTCCTCCGGGGTGACGTAATGAATCTGGCCTATGGGAAGGTTTGTCTTTGAAAACCACCTTTAATTCCTTCATTTTCCCAGAATCTTTCTTTGGTTTGAAGAAAGATTTTGTTGAATGCTGATTAAAAACATTTCCCATTGCCTGGACGCTCGCTTTTTATCGCCAACTGGGATTTGATGTCATCAAGCTTTGATTTGAATTATTTGACGCAAAATGTTTATTGGCGTGGTAATAATTACTGCCGACACAACAACAAAACACATATACAATTGCGATTATTCATTTCTTGAACAAGAAGAGCACACACTCTAGTTTATGTAAGAGGATAGTATTTTCTATTCATAGTTCAAAGTTTTCCTGAAACATTTTACAATTGTTAGCCATTGGTTCAAGAACAATGTAGGATTAATATATTCGATTCAGTGATGTCGCTAGAAGACACGCACAAACATGCTTAAAAATCACGTCATTACATTAGGCTTGTTGGTGAAAATGGTGTTTACACAGAAAAATCCTTCTAAAGTGGTATAAACATCAAAAAATGCACTGTGTACAATTTAGTGCTTGTTAGCAATTTTTGCAACACATTAGCAAGCCAAAAATAATAATCGAAAAGTACATAGAAGGTTTCAGGAGAAAAGCATTCCTTAAAAAATATTAGGGAAAAACATTATGATTTTCAAATTTGTGTTAAGTGAACTTGCAAATAACAAAATAATTTAAATTCCCTAAACTCACCTTTGCCTTATACACACATGGTGCATCATTGACAGAATAACATGACACCTCTACGACATCTTTCAGTGGATATTTTTCTTGATATCCGTAATTTATTTCATATACTTGCTTCTTGTATTCTATGTCATCTTTACTTAATATTTCATTTTTTAAAAACGCTTTGGGCAAATTATGCATACCACCTTTCAAGCAATGCATCTTACCAGATGACCACTTTCCCAGTTTAAAAGAAAGAAAGTGGTCCATGGACATTTCAATTTCGGGCACATAGCAAAATACAGAAAACCACGAACGGCATCGTTAGACCATGGCAAAGGTTTTCAAGTTTGACTAAATCTAAGTCTTTCTGGTCTTCAACCGACACTTTAGCTTTAATCACATTAATACTACTTTCAAGAAAACTTTCCACCGTGAACCGACTCCAAATTTTAATCCATCGATCCCAAGCATAGACTTGATCAACGACGCTCTTGGAATTCGATAACCAAATGCAAAGCTGGCCAGTGACGACATCTGTTGTTTCTTGGTAATATTTATCTCCAAAAGGAAAACAAACAAGTCTAGTTTTAATCCTGATCATGGTCCAACGCAATCAAATCAAACAGTTATCAACTTGCCATGTAAATAGTCTCTTAATTTTGATGGCTGACTTATAAAAACTGGGGAAAAAAGTCTCATTAAACTTACAAATATCAGTTATATCTCCTTTTAACTCTTCCTTTATACCATCTTTCCAATTTGGCCAAATTTTGATGAAATGTTTCTCACACCAAACTAAAAAGTCGTAGTACAATCTTTCAAATTCAATGATAATGAAGTTAAATAAACAGCTCTATTAACAGTATTTAGTTAAGGTTATCGTCATAACTGTTAATTGCGTATCAAGTGGTTCAAACAGGTTACAAATTTTACAAAAATGTTAATGGCTTGAGTGTATTTTGCGAAGATACCAACGCTAAAAAGCGAATTAGAAATTGGCTAATTTAGATGAGGCGTATATTAAGAGAAATTTTTCTGTTCCTAGCCTCTTCACGTATATCCTCTTACTTCGCAAAACATATAGAACTTTATTACAAACTTTTTGCAGTGTCTACTTTTAATAAATTTACTTTTAGTTTTTTCGCGAAACCCATAGATACAAGAAACGGCATTTTCATCGTAGTTTGGAAAACTTTTTATTGGTAGATTGAAGTTCTTGATGTAACCATTTGTCAAATAATGTTGCCCCTCATATTGACCATCGGCATCACAAGGAATTCGCATAGCCCCTGCTAAAAAAACAAAGAAAAAACAATTCATCTCTCGCACAAATTACTAAAGGGCATGTATAATAGTAAGGTTACATGACACTTTTATCAAATTAAACTCTTGATTTCAATAGTAAGCATAATTCAACTTAATTGATTTTATCAAAGCTTGAATAGTCAATTTAATATCAGATAAGATGCCCTCTTAGTTTTCCTTTTTTTATAGTCAATGCAAAAGTAAACGGTTGACATATGTTTTATGACATGGTACTCATCACACTCTTGCATTATACTTATGATTTATTATTTTTAAAAACAAATATAGAACTCAAACAATTATAAAAATGGTGAGGACTAATAAAAACATCTCAAAAACTTTGTTATAGCTATAAACATGTAACACTGAGCAGGTCACCAATTCCGGGCACCATCTTTCTCGTGAGTTTTTTTTTTAATTTTTTACGTCTACAGAAGCGTACTAGCAATAATACAATATTAAAGATGGATTTCAAAATAGCAAATACCATGGTGAATGGTGATAATAATGTAATAGTTCTAAAAAGAACTGCTTTAACAAGAGACTAACCCAACAATTCAAAGGAACCGTTATTTACAGCTAGAAAGAGACACTATGCATTTCGGCAGACTACTCGTCAGGTGTCAACGTCTGCAAAATGATAACCTCCAAAACATGCTATATTTATAATGTTACAGAAGGTCAATATCATTCTATTTTAGAGATGACACTTAAAACAGAGACAGATTAAACACGTAATCCTTTTGTCGGAAAAGGACACAGCAAGTGTTGCTTAAAAGATGTTTTCCAAAGATGTTAGCAACACTCACTGTGCCAATGCTTATTCTGAAGAAAACTTTAAAATTATTAAAAATGTCGCTCGTTATTCCAGCTACGCGTCATGAGTCGGTATTTTAAATTGACTAATCCTGTCCTTGGCCGACAAAAGGATTACGTGTTTAATATGTCTCTGTTTTAAGTGTCATCTCTAAAAATAGGGATGACATTGACCTTCTGTAACATTATAAATGACCTTCTGTAACATTGTAAATGACCTTTTTGATTGCTAAATTACCTAAGATAAAAGGAAATTGTGTTTATTTATGAAATTATAATAAGTCATTTTTAACTTCAACCTATTGCTCAGCGACCCATCCTAAAAATGTTAAACCAAAATAAGTTGAGAACACGACGGCGTCCTCAACGCAGTTCTTCAACATTTAGACGGCGTTGTCGTTTTGTTTTATTTTGCTGAAAATTTTAACATTCACGTGCCTCAGTTCACCTGAACTTTCTTCTACGAAACCCATCTGCCACAAATGCAATCCCAATAATATTGAGCAAAATTTTCAAAACCATTTATGGTGTTAATTTACATGACACTTTGTACTTAAATAGCATATTTAGCAGTTTTATAAACGTCTAAATGGGCTTTTCAAGAGTTAATTCAACGAATTTCAATAAATCATTTAATAAAACGATGTTCAATTTAAGCATGCAAACAACCTTGGCTAATAACTCACACCTTCTGCAAACCAGATGCAAGCACCACTTTTTACGTATAGACTCTTCCTCCATAGCGCTCTCCGAATTTTCACAGAAAGACCATTTTCTCGTCGCTAGACCTGCCATTCCTGCACCCACAACAATGACGTCAACCATAGTTTCATCTTCATGTACAGTACTGACAACCGAGCTTGAAAGATTTGATTCCTGAGGCTTGTATCCGTAACGATTGTAAGCTTTCTGCAAACCTTCATCTTGAATACATTTCAGAAATGTTTTATGCAGTCATTGTGCTGTATTGGAATTGATTGTTTCTGGGAAGTTTTATAGGTTCATCATTTTCCCAAATCTTTTATTACTTAAAAGATATTGTGACGCCATTTTATACCTCTTGAATGCAGAGAATAAGAAGTTTTAATTAGTGCAATGAAAGTAGAATAAATCATATACAAGTCAACAAAGTAATATATGACAATTCATAAAAAACTTTGCTTTCTAGGAGACATTTATTACAATTTCAACCAAAAACCCTCACTAAAATCACTATGTCGTTTTTTTAAAAAATACCTTATCATTGTGTTAAAATTTGCTAATGTTCAACGAACGTAATTTTCATTTACGATGTAATTTTAACAAAAATACAATGTTCTCGGGCATCTAAGCAATACTCGTTTAATAAATTTTCCTTTCGACCTGTACTTTCAAAGACATAAAATAAAAGACAAATAAAACCCTAAACGTTTACTGAGTACATTGTCAACTTGCTACGTTGTACAGTTGAGTTTCATACAAACTGGAGTCGCAAGTATGTATTTCACCATCACATATAAATACAATTTTGATTCAAGATCAAAACACTCTTAGCATTTAAAGGTTATGCAACTGATTTGTATACAATACTGTTCCCATTTTTTAACGGCATTTATCTGTCACTTTTATGCTATTTCAAACAACTTTATCTGAAACTTAATCATAAAAAAATCACACATACTAAAAAATTACTTTCCAAAAATTATTTCATTAAGAAAACAATGCATGGTATCAAAACATGCTCTATAGAAGGGATATGCATGTACATATATAACTGATTACACGGTTGTTGTTGTACGGCAAGCGTCAATTCAGGTGCTTTAATTGGCTCAAACATATTATTTTCCTTTATAAAATAAAAAAGAATAAAAGGCGCGCGGTGATTGGTCTCCAGCTGTGTTTGCATTAGTCAGTGTAAAACAGGTCTGAGCTCAACTAATCAAATCAATCAAAACAATCAATCAATCAAAGAGAATTTGCAAATCGATCATGAATAAATATTAGATGAAAATTAAACCTTTGTTTTAAACTTGTCTTGTCGCATTATTGTTATTCTACAAAAGTAATAAAAGAAGTTTTACGTGTATGCACTGGCTTATGCAAACCTCAGAGACCTTTGTGAGAACTTTCGAGCATGTGCAACCCTCGACATTCGGTTCCAAAGGTCACCTCATATTGCATAAGCCTGTGCAAACAAAGCAAACATCTTTTATTTCTGAAGTAATCACGTAACTTTTTCGACAAAATGTAAAGATGTACAAGTTTTATAAAACATGCAGCAAGTTTTGTAAAACGCAAAAACTAAACGAAACAAAAAACATGTAGATATACCAGTCGTAAGAGAAACAAGGGGGAAAAGATTAGCAATTAAACGTCGCTCATTCATACGTAGGCATTAATGAGATTCTCGTCGCAAAGTTAAAAGCTTCAATCGTGGAAATAAATAAACTGGAAAAGAAGTCACGGTTTAACTTTCTATTTTCAATTTCACTTTAATTATCATGATGAAAGTAATTGTACTTTCACAAATGCAAGTACTTACCTACTTTTCTCAGAAATTTTTACAAATCATCAGGAAGGTGAATGCTTCCCTGCATTCTGATTGGCTGCAGAATTGGGCGGTATTTTACGATATATGACCGCAGTCAAGAATCAATTTTGAAAATTACATGAGCATGAGTGGGAGATCTAGGGGTAGGCAACTAAGGCATTTGCCTATGGTAAAATTCCTAAACCAATCTGATTTTGATTTTATACTATCAGGATACTAGAACAGCAAAAATACTAATCGATTAACATAGCCGAAATTTTTAGAGTTATCATCTTGCAAAGAAGGTAAGGTTCTAACGCAGTGCAAAATTTGTAAAAAAATTTTTGTAAATTATATTGATATATTTGTAAATTATATAGATATATTTGCAAAACATCTATATTTTCTATTGCGAGCTAGAGGAAGTATCTTGTTGAAAGGTGTGTCGGTGTGTCTGCTTAGAATTTTCTTCAAAAAAGTGAGAGAAACTTACATCAGAGTTTCCGACACAAGTGGACCTTCTGTTAAGATATCTATTCTGTGATTATAGGCACATTAGGCATTATAGTAATTTACTGCTTAATATTTATACGTCATTCAGTGTTCTACAGTGATAAATATATGTTTATACATAGTTCATATAATTGGTGACATAATTGCAGGCTAGATCATTGTTACATAATGATACAAAAATAAAAATGTTCATGTCATGAGGTTGCCATTCTACATCAAGCAGTTTAGCAATGAGTCTGTAATAGGGAATGGCTTGATCATTACCAATCTATCAAAACATCATTTGATTACAAAGTGCTTTTCTTCTTCTATAAATAGTTTTGGCAACCATACTTTAGTTCTAATGTTTGATATTTCACTTCACTGGCAGTGATTTTGCTGCTGAGCTCCACTGATTTTATTTTTTGTCCATATGTTTAATTAATGTTCTAGCAAACCTGCGCCTTAAGCTTTTTTGAATAAAGTTGAAATAATCAAACTCTTATTAACGTACTTTGATCTTAAGTTTGGCTTTAACATGTAAAAGAAAAAATTAACTATAGGGATGTTTGTATAAATATATCAAGTTTAGCCACAATAGCCTGTATTTGCATAAATGGCTTTGCTACATACTATTAAGGATTAGTGCATGCTTTTCTACAAATAAATACTAAGTTTTTGGATTAATGTGTTGTAGCAATAGGATTATTGTTTAAACATCTTCAATATAATATGCTTTATTAATCAAAGTGTTAGGTCAAGGTATTGGAAGTGAAGTGGAGTTTTGTTACACATATTCAGAATTTAATACTTTATTCATCAAATATTATGTGGTATTAAACCTTATATAATGACCTTTCATGCTGCACAGCAGATATAAAAAAGTGGGGTGGAGAAATACTCCATTTACTGATTTATTAATAAAATATGTAACTTTCATTTCAAACTAAACTGTGTATCAACCTCAGTTGTCATTTAGAAGATAGAAAAACATCTTAAGAAATAATTTACAAATATGAACATTAACAAGCATAAGTTTTCAGACTTTTGTACATTGCACTAAATAGATCTACAATAAACTCAAATCAAAAAGCAAACGTAGCTCAATATAGTACTCTATTTTAATAAATACTATATAAGTTATCACTACATGCAGGGTACTTGGAGTGCAGTGATTGTGTGGTAGTGGTAAAGTATACTTTCATGGATTGGTGTAAGAGCCATATTTAATTCT